GGTGGTTGGTTCATCCATGTGAAGGCTTCTTCCTTGACGGTGGGCCTCGTCGAAGGAAGGCATGTGCTGGGGCAACGTTTCCTCACATGGTGGATGGTTCATCCATGTGAAGGCTTCTTCCTTAACTTTAGGCTTCGTCGAAGGAAGGCATGTGTGTCCGCATCGGAATCCAAGCGAGGTGATCCCTGTTTGGAAATGTCGACCTCTCTTCCGAGGCGTCAATGCTTCCTTGCATGGTGGATGATTCATTCATACAAAGGCTTCTTCCTTTTTCAAGGAAAGAAGTCTTCAAGATAGTGTCTCTTCCTTTTATTAAGGAAAGAGGTCTTCAAGTGATCGCCTCTTCCTTTTTCAAGGAAATATGTCTTCAAAATAGTAACTCTTCCTTTTTCTAGGGAATAGGTCTTTTAGTGCCTCTTCCTTTTTTCAAGGAAAGATGTTTTCAAGCGATCTCCTCTTCCTTTTTCTAAGGAAAGACGTATTCAAAATAGCGCCTCTTTCTTTTTCAAGGAACGAGGTCTTATATTACCGCATCTTCCTTTTTCAAGGAAAGAAGTCTTCAAAATAGCTTCTCTTCCTTTTCCAAGGAACAATGTCTTATATTACCGCCTCTTCCTTTTTCAAGGAATGAGGTCTCCAGCCATGGATAAGCATCCGGCGAAGCAAGGAATAAACATTTCACTAATAAAGTCTCGAACTATTGGAGTCTTATAAACTAGCCTCGGAACGACGAGGTCTTACAGCTAAGCCCAAAGATAATGAGAGGAGATAAATAAACATCTCGCGAAATTAGGAATAAACATTTGGCAAAGCGGGGAATAAACATCCCACGAATAGTCGAACTATCGAGTTCTTATAAACTGGCCTCGGAATGACTAGAGCTTACAATTCGGATCGACGATAGTGAGAAGCGAGGGATAAACATCTCGCGAAACCAGGAATGAGCATCAGCGAAGCGGGGAACAAACATCCTGCGAATAGTCGAACTATCGGAGTCTTACAAAATGGCCTCGAAATGACGAGGGCTTACAGTTCGACTCGATGATGTAAGAAGCGAGGGATAAACATCTCGCGAAACCAAGATTGAGCATCTGGCGAAGCGGGAAACAGACATCCCACGAATAAGGTTTCGAACTATCGGAGTTTTATAAACTAGACTCGGAATGACGAGATCTTACAGTTAGGCTCAACGATAGTGAGAGGCGAGGAACAAACATCTCGGAAACCAGGTATAAGCATCGGCAAAGTGGGGAATTAACATCCCGCTAATAAGGTCTCGAACTATTGGAATCTTATAAACTGGTATCGGAATGACGAGGTCTTAGAGTTAGGCTCAACGATAGTGAGAGGCGAGGAACAAACATGTCGCGAAGCCAGGAATAAGCATCTCGCAAAGCGGGGAACTAACATCCTGCTAATAAGATTTCGAACTATCGGAGTTTTATAAACTGGTATCGGAATGACGAGGTCTTACAGCTAAACTTAACGACAGTGAGAGGCGAGGAATAAACATCTCGTGAAGCTAGGATAATAGAGGTGATCATCAAAAGGGGCTTTGTATAAAATAAATTCGAGCTGGACAATTTGTTGAACAATTGGTGTTTGTAGTTGTGATTTTTGTAATTTTTTTGTCGAATTTGCAGTCTATGGCCTCAAGGAATTAATAAAGAAGGCAAATTCTCCTCAAGTTTCTTGCATGGCGTCAACTCTAGTAGAAGGACAATTTGTCTGCAAAACACCTTTAACCCATGCAAATAAACAGACTGTAGGATGCCAGTCACGCCACCTTCAAGGCATTGTCTCTATCAAAATTAATGTGCACACAATGGACAAAGCTTGGCCATGTATCGCCGGTGACTGTAAGAAATTGGCGAAGTGACCGATGGTTTTTTATGCGGAGGCCATAGAAAGAACCATAGGCGAGAGGCTGGGAACTCGACAATAGTCGTGGACTGCGGTTGCCGGAGGTGGTCTCAAAACTAACTGTCGGAGGCTGTAACAATTACCTTGACTTTCATTGGTAGAAATTCGAACTTTCTTGGACATTTCTCAAACACCTTGTATGTACATCAAAACTTTAACATGTTTTATCTTTCTGAGCATTCATTCTTATCAAGTCCAATGTGAAGTTTTTGAAGAAATGACATCAAAGTGGATGGTGAAGTGAAAGCTCCAGTTATTCTTCAAACATCCTTAGAGTTGAATAATAAATGAAGCACACTTTTGAACCCACGTGATGGTGGTTGCAGCTCCTGGTGTTTCGACAATTTTTTGTCTGAATTAGCAGAGTTGAGAAAAGTACCGACAACCATTAAGAACGAGTGGGACAGTGAATGTTAGTGGATGAACATGTAGGCTAGCTTCACTTTTTTTTTTTTTTATTTTGAAGACAAAAGCAGAATCATCAATTTTCCTCTTTTCATGGTGGGTTTATTCAACCCTTCTCTTCAACCATTGTTGGAAAGTTTCATTTCTTCAAGGAAATTTTCAATAGCCAATTTTTCATCTTCAGTAGCTGACTTTGTTATTTTTTCTAGTAGAGAGCCGCTCCAAAAAATCCAGCCACTGCCTCTGCTCTACTTCCAACAGAACACTGCCCGAAATTTTTTTTTTTAACTCCGGTGACTTTTTTGGTACGTGGTATAAAATGGTTAACGCACCATTTTTCACATACGGCACCAATATGTTAACCCCAAAAAAATGAGCTCAACAGAATCCCCGCCAAGTCCCTCCACGTGGACATCACCTGCACACTAAACACCCCGTTAGGAGGCAAATGCCGCCGATCAAGGAAAAGGTCCAACGACCATTCGCACTCCAACGGTCAAGTCAACTGTCGGACGATGAAAATATAAGTGCAAGAGAGGAAGATGGGAAGATGATAGGGTTAGAGAACATACCTTAATTATGAAGTCGATTCACATATATATAGAAAATGAAAATGTAAATGGGCCATATGGATTATGGGTCTTGCCCAAGCTCAAAACCGAGGCTCTGAGACTCTCAGTCGAGGCTCTATATAAGTGGATGACGCCTTTTAGCCGAGGCTACTTGTAAGTGGTTGATGCCCTTTAGCCAAAGCTCTTTGTAAGTGGTTGAGGCCCTTGAGCCGAGGCTCTTTGTAAGTGGTTGGGGCCCTTTAGCCGAGGCTCTTGACTTCTTGTAAGTGGTTGATGCCCTTTAGCCGAGGCTACTTGTAAGTGGATGAGGCTGTTTAGCCGAGACTTTTTATAAGTGGATGAGAGCCCTTCAGCCGACACTCTTTATAAGTGGATGAGGGCCCTTCAGCCGAGACTCTTTCTGGATGGTTGAGGCCCTTCAACCGACGCTCTTTTTGGGCGGACAAGGCCCTTCAACCGAGACTCTTTATAAGTGGATAGGGACTTTCACCTGAGGCTCTTGTAAGTGGATGAAGCCTTCAATCCAAGGTTCCTTTAGACTGAAACTCAAGCAATGTGGGACCCTTCCTTCAAGACAGTGCCACATAACCTCGGTCTATTGCCTCACTGAGATCTTTAACCTGTTGGGTCTACTTTTGGCTTTTTCATTGTCTGTCCCGCCTACGTGGCCTGCTATGTGGCTTTGCTTCTTTAGACCTCGAAATCGAGGGGTAACACCCACAGTGGACATAATAACTCTTACCCACCGTGAATAGGAGATCATCATTATATATTATGAACTTTAGTTTCTATAACAAACAACAACCGGTACATCTAAAAACAAAAAAGGACAGTAGGATCACCGAAGCAAAAACCTTTTTGGAGCAGCCTTGATTTCGAAAATGTTGGCAGTAAGAATCCCGATGGAGCCGAAAAAAGAGAGAGTGCTGATATTTATCGCGAATAACCTTCCACCTTACTACTATTTTGACTAGAATCTAGAAATAACAAAGAAACTTAAACATGTTCGTACATAAATAGGAAACTGCTTAGGAAAGGAAACGGCGCTGGGAAGGTTAGGATATCCTTCATGCTACTATCGAAATCGAGATTATGGGTTCAGCAACGAAACACATTTCTAGGGTACTCACTTTTCCGCAAATTCAATCCACACTTGAGATGGCTATTTCTCATCTACTAATTATTTGTACCTCTTTGAAGTTGAAAATGTCATCGGTAGGTGCTTGAAACTCGACGTATCAAACAATTCCATAAACCTCTGATCCGAAACGCGTGTTTTGGCTGCTGCAAAGCGCTGGTACTCATCAAAAACCGAAGTTAGACACCATCTTTGTAATTTTCTCAGGCATCCCACAAGACAACCAGTCCGGTGCTGAACAATTAAGAAACAGAAAACATCGTTAATCAAGATAGTATTGATCGGCAATTTCAGGGAGACAAGGCAATATTGAAAATATCTTACCTTTCCTCGTTTGCAATGGATCAATAGAGGGTGATTCTTCACATCTGAATTGTACAGAAAAAATGTATTTTAGCAAATCCATATAGAAGACTCGCACATAAATCACATTCGATGGAAGTGGAAGTATGGTAAAAAAGGTACCAAGGACAACTTTTAATGCTTCACGAATTTTATCCTCGGGTATGTTCACAAATGGCTCCTGTATATGCAACTTCGAAATCAAATTCAGGCGGAGAATAATTGAACCACAAGAAATATAAATTCCTCTCGAGTGCTTAAGGAACCAATGTTCTAACAAGTGAAAAAATCTAAAAACAATATCTTGTTATATATCGAAATTATGCATTAGCTCCATCGAAATATTCCATCTACAATTTTCATCCGAGTTGAAACTTAATTCGGATAAATTGAATCTGTCGAAAAGACATTTTCTTTACTTCATAGTAGAAGAAACTAATGAGATGAGTTAGCATATCAAACATGCGAGAGAAGCTTCAGTAGGACCTATATGCACACATCAAACCATGACACCTCGGCATCACATACCCACTTTGTTTCTCACTCTTAACACCTCGGACTTCGATGTATCTTGATTTGAATGGCTCGAAGTCTGCGTTGTCATGATTTAGGTAAATGGTCCCGTGCTTCCATTGAAGTTTTTTCTCCACAAGTGAAGGGCTTATCTTAGAAATCAATTTGAAGAGTGTTTTTGGAAGTAATTCCATGTTTTAATCATTTTCAGAATAATTGAAATCCTAAAACACACTGGTGTATACTTGTAAACTGAATTTTTACTGATCTTATGAAAATAACTTGATATTGTTGGATAAATAATAAAACTGATATTAACTGAATATCTTGCTGCCTCAAAAGTAGGCAAAACTCTAGAAACCACTTTACAATGATCTTTTCCTTCTTCTTTTTTGGTAGATCGAAAAGATTGACTTACTTTACTTCCTTCCATTCCGAACTGGAATAACTTAATCCGATTCGATTTGAGAAACTCCATGTTGGGCACCGGGTAAGGCTCGGGACACAAATATCTACACAAAAAACCTTAAAATCGTTAATTAACGTTTGTATTTATCATACGCATGCGTTCAAATACAGAGAAAAAACCAAGTGTTGAGTGACTTACACGATAGAGCAGAGATTGAGTGATTGAAGAAATGAGAAATTATCCACGTCTGGAAAACCAGACCTAAAAACGCCATTATCAACCACAGCAAAATTGAGAGGTGGAAGAAATAGCTCATCTACTTCACAATTATCACCGGAAAATGACAGCTTCAGTGGCGGTGATGGTGGTGGCGAGGACTCCACCGCCGCTACTTCTATCGTTCTGCATATGTCACTACCATTAATTTCTTCATTTCTATCAAATTTCGTCATCAAGATTTTCTTAAACGAAAAGGGCTTTTTCTTATTGCCTTTTTTTCTATGTAGATTGGAGATTTTTATGTGAACTTTTTGGTGTGTTGGCAGTTATTTATAGAGGAGTTTTGAGGTGGTTATGGTGGATCAAAAGTTACTTTTAAATGTTGAAAGGTCAAGCATGCATTCAATCGATTGGCTGCAAGGTCACGGTTTTTCTCATTTTCCAGTCAAGGTTGGACGATGAAGGTGTCTTTGCTAATAGATTATAGCATCAAATTTTGAACAATGTGTTTTCATTGTGGAATTAATTAATTTGGCATCTCCATCTCAATTACTTGGCACTTCATAGTTTTCTCTCTATATAATTTTCACATGTCAAATATTATCGACACATCAGAGATTTTTAAAGTCCGTAGTTAAGAGTTCGTTTATTGTAAAAAGATTTCAACTAATGACTCTACAATAATCGCTGAGCTTAACCATGTACATATTCAGTACATCGAGACAATAATATCCATATGGCTCGGTATTACTTTGAGGTTCACTAATTTTTTACAACACCAATAATATTAGAATTGCGTACGTGTATAAGTGAATTAGATAGTTATCACTATTTTTCTTTTCGAGTAATATGATCATTTTGCAAATCGCACGCATTTTTAAACGTGATTCAAGATGACGTGACCTAACGTAATTGAGTTTGTTCTCATCTTTCCTTGAGAATTCTAAAGCCTAACTTGGTTTTCATAAATTCATAATTGGAAGTAGTTGGAGTGGACAAATAAATTATTGACAGCACAAAATTGGCATATATAACAAAAGAAAACTTGTATTTTAATGTGTGCACTATAATTCCAAAGAGTAGATTCTATGGAATATGCCATTTGCGACATGGGATGTGCCTTTGTTTTATATAAAATGAGAGAGTTGTGCGCTGCGTAGATTTTTAGCCGTTTGATGGTCATTATTTTAAAAAATTGAGTTTTGGATAGTGTATTTTTTTTAAAATGTACAGTTAAAAAGTAGAAAAAAGTTAGATGTTTACGTGTAAAATATTTTATTGTATTAATTATTGTTAAAAATAAACATGAGAATTAATTAATTTTGAAATAATGATTCGTGGCTTAATTTGTTTTCAAGAGACAAAGTGCACTACAAGAACAATAGGCAGTGACAGCAAAAACAAGACATGGGAGATTGTACAACTTCTGATGGCTATGTTTTGTTTGTGCATTATTTTTTGGGAAAATTGCAGTCACGATACTAAATCTTTCACTTTTTTGCAGATTTTGTTCAAATCTTTGATTTGCGCCACCCACGGTACCAAACCTTTCAAAATATAGCAACTGAAGTCCAAATGGATGGCTGACAGTTAGTTGACCAGAATAGTATATTTGACCAAATTTTAAAAGGGCAAAATAGTAAGTTTACAATTTAATATAAAATAATTATAATAATTAGAAAAAGAAAAAAGAAAAAAAAAAAAAACAAACCATCCATTTTTTGTATCAATCATGAAACCGTTTCAACCACCACCAGTCGACGTCGACGCTGTCTCTTCCTTCTCAGCCCTGCCTCTCCGACCTCATCCTCACGTGGCAAACATATTCTTAAATGCAGAAAGTTCCCAGAATAGTCTGTCTTATCTCTGATCTAAAAGGGCGTCAAAATTAAATATAATCCAACAACTACAAAAAGTTCAATCAAAGATTATTTGAACAGCAGAAGAAAACTAATCGAGATCGTGATGATACTCATATGAGTTCCTCATCGTTCTCTTCATTGCTATGTTATGGTCTTCCATTTTCTTGCTGGTTGAGATCCCTTTATTTGCTTCAGTGTCACTCCTGGAAAGTTTGCAAAAAAAAAAAAGAAATTGTGTGAATTTGAAGGAATTGATTGAGGCCCAGATGGGATTGCCTGCAGATATTGCGTTCTTCGTAAAGGATGAACCGTATCCTTAGCGGCTCCCACCTGTCCTGCCCTAAGCCTTGGTGAAGGAGGTAAATCGCAGGTTATGCCTCCAAGGATACAGGGTGGAAGGTTGCTTGTACACTTATACTTACCCAATGGTCAAATCCATATTTCATAATTCGAACCCTTGGCGCGACAATTTTAAGTAAAGTTGGAGTTTTTCCACCTTCCCCTTTTACCACTTGGAGATGTGCCCTGGAGGCAAACGGTTGATTCGTTAGGACCTACACCATATTGTCGACCCAACAAAAACATGTTCCCAACTAGTTCATATTGTCCAAATTTGTGCTTTTTTTTTTNATATTTATTTAAATAAATAAATAAAAGACATACTGCCATTATATCAATTGGTGGCAAATTATTTACATAGGCATCATGATAAGTGGTTGAGTAAAAGACATGAATAACGAAATGATTTCTCCATGGGAGTCGTCGAAAATCTTTCCTTTGTGTTTGTCACTTAGCATTCTTTAGAAGCACTAATTGACATGCCAACTTTTATTCAAGACTCCGTGGTTAATTAAGTGTTTGATATGTACCTTTTGGTGTCAAATGATCTTAGATTATAAATGATATACAAACCTTCAGTCACAACGCTATATATATTCGAGTTTGTGAAGGTTGTGTTACTATTCATACATATAAAGAAAGGTTCTTCGTGAAACTATTGTTACTTTATCAAGTTCTGTTAAAGGCTTTCGATGTACAAATTTAGAGATTCGAAAAACAAAAATGGAGTCTCGTTAGGGAAAATTGTTTACAAGATCCTTTTGCTATGAAATAGCAATTACTTCCAAAATATGAGAGTTTCATCTATGTTTATATAAATCAATGTTCTTGGACAATAATTTTGACTTGCCAGTCAACTGAAGTGGAACAAATGCAATTTAACTTCGAAGTTTGCAATTAGAAAAAAGGAAATATGTATGTCTCTTCTAATATTTTAGTACACAAAGCATGATTCTTATTGATGTAGTATGTAATAATAACATAATTTATTTTATTTCATTTAGGGTAGAGCCATTCACGTGCTGTTTTGAATAAGAAATAGGGTTTAGAAAAAAAAAAAAAAAAAATTGACCTTCTTTTATTGATTTTTAATATATTCTTGCAAAAAGGCTCAAACAAACACTAAATGTAAATTTATAGTAGGTTGTGGATGGTGATAGGATTTGGGCACGGAAACGTGCCGTGAAAAGGAAATACCGATTGAAGAACTTTCAAACTAATATATCGATCATAGCCTAGTCAATTCACGTTAAAATATGAACTTTTGAACCGAAATATTGATCATAGTCTCTTTGATCCACATTAAGGGCTTTTTTGATAGCTTCTTTTATAAACGAACTTCATGAAAAAACCACCATATATCTCAATATTAAAAAACATACTATCGTTAACATAATCCTATTTAAATTAAAAGTAAAATATGTAATCATAGTTGTCTCGTGTATCCTTGATTGTCATGAAAATATCTCAATATTAACAATACTTCGAACTTTCCTCCGATTTGTTCTTATACCGTTTTCCTCACATTCGATGTGTTTTGTTCATCTTTCCTTGATTCTCTCCTAGGTAATAAACACAAGATTGTCTTCAACTTCTTATTCTATTTATATGGACTAATTTAGCCTTTTATCATTAGCACCATATTTGAGAAATGGAATTAACTTTAGGTTTAATAAAAATATTTTTTCCGGTCCTTTTTCGCTACGGTTTCGAGTTACACTTGACAAACGAATTGACGAGTTCTTGTTGAGATTCAATCGAGTTTTTATCTAAACGTATCAGATATGTCATTTCAACTCGACTCATTGAAATGAATTCTCTCAATTATGCACCCAATTACCGTTCATGCCCTCGCTCAAAACTAGAGAGCGAGTCGCATGCAGATCTTTCCAAACCTAGCAGCGTGTTACATATAAGCAACAGAATCAGTTCTAAAAGCTCATTTTGCCACGTGGCTATCATCCAGAGTCTTAATGCACGTGATAAAATGTGTCTTTTTTCCATATATAACTCTCCTTATCATGCAGTGTAATGGAGAAAAAAATACCAAACAAACAGCTGCTTAATTTAGTGTTCTTTTTTTTTTTTTTTTCCTTATATTAAATTGAGTGAAATTATAGGGTCTTTTCTTGTGAATGAATTGGTAGGGTCGACTCTTTTTGATGAGATAATGTTTCAGGTACGAATCATTTCTATTTTTATTGGATTTTTGGTAATAATTATAATAATGGCAATAGTGTAGGAATGATTTTAAGGATTTTGAAATGCAATAAAACCACAGAATTTACAGTTTCTTGATTAAAAATCCACCCCACCCATAATTATGGAACCCCTTTGTGAGTTTTGTGAGATGGCGACCGCGGTGGTATACTGTAAAACGGATTCAGCACGGCTTTGTCTGCAGTGTGACGGTCGTGTGCACTCCGAAAGCTCCATTTCCCAGCGGCATCCGCGTTCTCTCATTTGTGACAAGTGCCATTCGCAGGCGTCTGTGGTTCGGTGCATGGATTGTAAATTGTCGCTTTGTTCGGATTGTGATTGGAATGGTAATGGTTGTTTGGGACCGGGGCATAGGCGGATTAAATTGAATTTCTACTGTGGATGCCCTTCGCGGGCAGAGTTCTGCAAAATTTGGTCTTTGGTTCTTGATGAGCCTAAATCGAGTAGTTTTGATACATCTTGGAGCACAATTCGTTCCATGACTGACTCATTGGAGGCACGGAATGATCAAGGGTCTGGCGGAATGGTAGCAGACAGGCTAAATGAATTGGCATCTTGTGTCAAGTTCGGACAATGGGCTACTCCGTCACCTCTCGTTCAGTCAAATGTTCCAAACTACGTATCATCATCATCATGCAATACGGATCAAAAACCTCAATTCTACAACGATCAAATGCCTTTCTTCCCAGAAGGATCAAGCTTTCAAAAGGTAATCTACATCTTTCATAATCAATCTTTTTTTTTTCTTCTTGTTATGCACCAGCATCACCATTTGGTACTTAAACTGAGACGTGATTCTATTACTATCAGCTCTTAAATGAATGCTTGCTTAGTCTTCTTTGCTTCTTTGTGATCTCAAAATGAACCAGGGATTTCCTAATAGTATTAAGCATCTTGGGCTTCATCACAGTGATGATCTATATGACAGTGACGAAATGGCCTTGAGCTTCGACAGTGGTTATGAGATGTTTGAGAATTTGCAAAATCAGCCAAGTTACCACTACGATGATGGAGGAATGAATAGCCTAGTCACCGAGAAAAACTTTTCAGTCACTGAATCTAATAGCACTCATATTGAAAGTGCATTAGAGGTTGTTTTCCACCCCATGACTCTTCATCCAAATTTAAATTTTGTCCTTACAAATAATATTACTCTCTTTCAATTACAATTTACAACTAGTGATTCAAAAGATACACACACACACACACATATATATATATATATATACGAGTACAAAGTCCTTATACATCTAAACATTTGGTGACATCAATGTAACTAAAATGTATCGAATATATCAAGAAGAATTCGCTTCAACGTAATTCAATTATTTTTCATTTTTTCCATTTATCCATTTCCAGGTGAACATTACCATTTGTTTAGATACACTTATAAGTCTATATATATAAGATATCTGTAATTTCTTGACAGACATTTTCACTAACAAAAAAATGAAATATTTGTTCGTCTGCTTTCGTGAGATATAATATTTTTTCGCTTTTCTATGTTATTAGGCATCATCGTCATCAGGACATCAAGAGTGCATTGGTTTTCAATCTTCACAAGTTGGCATGGGTCCGGCTAATTTGGTGCAGCCTATAAATAATGCCACTGCTAAATCCATGCTTATGCACCCAGGTTGCAACAGCAATAACATTGGCTTAGGATTTCCCTCTGGACAACTTCCTTCAACCATGTCTCCTGCATGTAGTGTGGCTGAATTTCAAGATTGTGAATTATCACCCGTATTTCTTGCTGGTGATGCTCCATGGGAGTCGAACTTCGAAGGTAGTTGTCAACAAGCTAGAGATAAAGCTAAGATGAGATACAATGAAAAGAAGAAAACAAGAATGTATGTGATTCTTCTCTTCTTTCCTATAAACAACGTCGTCTTAAAAAAGAAAACAAGAGTCTTGATTTATATTTGGTTGCTGATGCTGAAAAACTTATTGCTTAATGATTATAGGTTTGGCAAACAAATAAGATATGCTTCTCGTAAAGCCAGAGCGGATACTAGAAAACGCGTGAAAGGTAGATTCGTGAAGGCTGGTGAAGCTTATGACTATGACCCTCTTGTAATAAGGGATTTCTGATCTAGAGGTTATTAAATTTTCCCATGGCTTTGGTAATTCATGCCCTTGATATAAAAGTATACAATGTAATGGACTTTCTTCGGTACTTGATTCAAATCAACCTTATGTTTCGAGTATACCGAAAGGTATACAATGTAATGGACTTTCTTCGGTATGTTTTTTGTCTTCGAATTATAAAAGAGAATGACCTTGTTTTATAAGGTTTCAAATCTTACATCATCTCGTGATTGAAAACTCTTATACATCCAATGAATTTCATATGTCAATCAAATTATATATGAGCACAAATATTTTAAATTTCGACGTTCTTAACAAATGCAGTTTCATTCAAGAAAGATTTAGGAATTTTTCTTATATGTGTAGACCTTTCCCAGCCTTCTTTCCTTATAAGGATAAGTTTGATATGTTGGACAGCACAAGACAATATATGACAATGAATAAACATTTCACATGTTTTCCTTAATCTAGTCCATTCAATTATTGCCTCCTTCGTAAGAGGAAAAATGCTTGATCTTGATTCACTCGACTATCCTTGTCTCTATTCTATATGGTGCTCCTAAGCCAAGAAGTGGGCTAACAAAAGGATGTCTTGTCCCCTATGTATTGTTGTTCACACTATTGTGTCATAACCATTGCTCGTGATTTATTAACATTAGCATTGTTCATTGATATATTTGGTATCCAGTTTCGAGCATTACTTTATTCTTTAGAAGCGTCTAATACTGTACGGTCCACTTCATTGCTCCCTTTTCTGCTATCGAATCTTGAAGGATGTAATGTTAGAAAACACACCACCAGAAGGATTTCATGCTAGCTGTTGTGACTTGAAATTACATTCACATATAGTTCCATCTGCTCAAAACTCCTGCCAAAAGAAAAAAACATTGTTGCAAGACAATTTAATTATGTTGTTCCGAGGGTGGACTTAGATTACCAACAATCCCAACTCGAACAAATCCTAAAAGCACAAGCTCTTTTTGATCCGAGGTGGCTTGGAGTTTGTTGACCCCAAAAAATGTTGTCAACAGATGTCGGGCCCACTCGTGAATACGCAAGTTTGATCCAACACGTTAATGCCGATCAACGGTCATGTTAGCTCCAGAAAATGAAAGTAGGAGTGTTTCAGAGGCACGAGACGTTTCCGTTCAGGCTTCCGGCAAGATAAATGTAACGCGATCGTATAAGAAACCAATCGATAAAGAACGATTTGTGGTGGAAAATATATTGTAGAAGTTACTGTTTAAATGAGAGAGATATTGCTCCAAGTATTTAGATTTTTATTTAGAATTTTCTTTAGCCTTCTCATGTTACATGGTGGGGGTATTTATAGTGTTACAATTCGAATGGTGATCTTTGGATCAATTTACACGTGGTTTCATTTCCTCTGCCAAGATATCAAGTCCTAATTATCAAGTTGACTTTCCTAACCTTACAAAGCATTAAATGCTCTTATAATGACAAGACAAGACACAAATAAACTTTATATAAGAGTCCCGACAATCATTTACATNTCATTCACATAAAGATTTTCATCATGAGTGGATCTTCCTATGTGGATCTTCAGTAGCTGCAAGGGAGCCTCGGACAGTGCATGTTCACCGATGCGTACTTTATAGTTAATAGCAGTGGCCTCGGAACAACGGCGATGGCCTCGGAACCCACGTCTGAGGCTAGGAAAATATACCCTGATTTAATTAAGCTGGTCCCACTGCTAAAAATATGGTGCCACGTGTCGCTTCCATTTGTGACTCATCACAGAGTTCATGCCCTATCACCCTTTTCTCGACTTGGAAAACATAGTGAACTGTGGGAAAGGAGTGTCTTTCATTTTCAATTGCTGGACGTAAGAAATTTCTTTGCATTTTTTTAATTGCATCTTGTGAAACTAAAAAATGGACAGAATTCGATATTATATTCTTGAAGTGGAAAGTTATCGACATAGAAAATCTCATGCTTTCAAGGACAATATTTTACATTTATCTAGCCATGGAGTCGACAGTTTGAAAAATTTCTTGATCCAGTAAAATCTCATAACAACAATTGATTCAATATTTTACATTTGAATTTTGTGTTAGACCCATCCCCATCCCCGTCCCAAGCCATCTACTCGAACTCTTCGCTATTGGATATCAACGTCTCATTCTATTTAATATAGTGTTATTCGACTATGCCAGAAGGTTTCCCATCACACGGCTACAACTTGATCTTTTGCGGGACTCATGTTTAAATAGGGTTGAAAAAGAAAGTCAAACTAACACTCGATCCCCACTTTCTCAAACTCCCACCACCGACCCTTCACCTATCCATGTCCAGATTTCATGTGTTGTTTCAATCGTCATGGTCGACACGAAAGAAATGAGTGAAAGTATGGTTCTTTTTTATCTGGGATGGGATATTCACCTTGTACGGGGAAATATTCACAGGTTCAATACAGGGACAGTTGTCTCGTTGACTGTTCCCAAGTGAATATTTTCCTATACATGTAGTGCATTTCTTTTTATTTCATCTACATTGTTTCTAGGCTAAGCTTCTAAGCGTTTATAAGCGGTGTGTTTTAAAGAATGCATGATTAAAAGAAGATAAAAGTTGTGGATTCTTAAAAATGTATGATTAAAAATTATCTTTGATCAACTTATAACCACTTAAAAATTTTACCTTATGTATATGAGTTGTTTACAAGTGACCATGTTACCAGGGGCAGAGCCCCATATGGTCCAGTATAGGCACTTTGGGCTTAGGCCCATTCTTTTTTTTTTTTTTAATTATTTTGAGAGCCCCATATTTGGAATGCAATGGAGGGATGGACCAAAGTTAGTTGAATTAGTATGCTAAAGATAAGTGTAATAGGCACTTGCAATATGACTAATAAAAGTTTTATCTTCCCAACTTCAAGCAGATGCATTTATGAATTGAAAGAGTTTCTATGTAACAATGAGATATTCAAGTTTTTTTGTAAGACAAAAACGTAATGCATCATAGCATAGAAATCCAATTGTTTGAATGAGATAATTCTTGAAGATTGATAATAAAGTTATTGTATAATGATATCAAAGTATGAAAATTTGTAAAGAACAAATGTAACATATAAACTACGTCATTTTTAGTATTTTTGTAATATTATTTTATTTTTATCATTATTAAAAAGTTCGACGTCTATTAAATTGTACTCGGCACTGAACGAATTTCTTGGCTCCACCCCTGCAGGTTACAATATTATTGGTGGGCTTCTTTTTATATTAAGCATCTCATTGTTATGTGCGTCGATTTCTTAACTATAAACACTCGCTAACCTAGTTTTGCTTTTTCCCGATACATTTAAATTTGAACATACAATATTTGCAATCTTATCGTATCTAAAATTGGCTAAAATCAGTCTATAACAATTCAATTATGTATTTTGAATTTTCCGATGAGTTAGTGTAATAAATAAAAGATATTGTACATTGATTCATAATTTTTTCTTGTCTTTTAAACACACATTTTTTAAAAATTACTTTTCATAAAATATACTCTTTATTACTTTATCTATATATTAAAAGCGATACTAACTTATAGATTTAAAACACATACATTTAATCAACTAACCAATAATTGAGTATTATCTTATAAATACTATATTTAACATGTGCATTTATGATTCAATAAACATATGTAACCAAGCAACAATAGAGTCATATTATAAGAAAATAATACTCAATTATATGTATGAACTTTCTAAATGAATAATTACCTAAAAACATTTATTGAAATCCGAATTAATTTATAATATGATCCATCTTACTACAGTTGAAGTTGGCTTCGTCGAATATAGTTTCGAGCATGCCATAAGTCCTTACGTGCGCTTGTAATTTATTTTCTAACACGACGAAACTCCTACCTCGTAGAGATTTATTAACACAAGTTTTGTCATCTACATATCCGAGATGAATATGAGAAATTTTAAGATAGTTCGTTTAGAAGGATCGTTCTGTGCCAGAATATTGTCTTTATCATCTAGTCGCATTTGCATAACCGGAGCATGGGCGAATGTGGCGTATCGAATTCAACTTTAATATTTATATAAATAGATTTCTTTAAGCCAAAATGGAAGAAGCTTATAGAGAGACTTTTTGCACCAAATGGCTGCGACTTAGACAAACTCGGAGAATACTTATCATCGCAAATCACGCATGAATTTCAGTTTGACAGCTTAATTGCTCCAAACATAATCTTGAACAAATGTTTGTATCTATTCATAGATTGAATCACTTGTACAATAATGATAAAGACACTAACCCCACCTTAACAACCCCTCCTCCCCTATCCCTCTTTGCTTAGGTCTTATCATTACCTTAAAATTTACGAGAAATTTCACTTTTAATGATGAGAATTTTTACTAGACTATCATTTCTTGACAAATTAATCGCATTCTCCCCACAAGTTGATTTGTCAACTCTAAAAAATATTATTATTGCAAAGATGATAATTAGAGTGTGTTTGGTAGTGATTAAAATCGGATTAAAATTGAAAAACTAATCGTTATTGTTGACTTTTATTAGACGGGTGAGACCCAATAATGATTATATTTTCAATTTTAATTGGATTTTTAGTGTTACCAAACAAGCTCTTATTATTATTTTGTGACGATTTTCCTATTCTAATTAGGATGCACTTTATAAGGATTGGAGAAAGCAAAGAATTATTTATGTGTAATTTAAACATTGAACTCGTGAGGATGATGTCATTAATTTGACCCCCACTTTTTCGATAATAAATATTGTCATGTTATATTTTTATTTGTCCGTGCTATTCTTGTGCATGATTGTGGTCGTCATATTAAAGTAGTATTATTTAAGAATTAAGTTATTTGTACCCTTTGATTTACCCGATCCCACCACCCTCACATGGAGGTAGGGTCCTACATTCAATAAATGCATGAGACCCAACTCCCATTTGAGGGAGGGAGGGGATCGGGTAAACTAAAGTGTAAATCAAATGGTACATGTAGCAAAGTCGATTAG